GCATTTATCAATCCTGCTAAAAAAATTCAGTGTAAAACTATTTTCGGATAATAATATAAAAAAATTTGCCATTAATTTAAACACTAAACTTGGTAAATATTTCGAAACTGATGAATTTACATGGTACGGTGAATGATAATCATTTTAAAAATTTATTACAAATCAGATTAGGTGAAATAGAACTTAAAGGCATATAGTATCATATGATCAAAAAAAATGAAATCACTTAAAATATATCAGAGATATTTATGTTAGCTATCCCTGAAGACTTTAACGAAATTCTGCACTTGTAAAGACCAATAGTTTTGGTAACAGCTCGGCAGATAAAAACAGATGATGACACCATACAACTGTATTAATCTAATGAACGGACAATTACCCATTGTGAGGTTATCTTTTCTCAGCATGCATTGTATTTGACAACATAATATATCTTAAGTGTTGGATGAAATTTGGAGGCTTGTTTTTGTTCATCAAAGAAATTGATAAGTAAATTAACGATAAATCAAAGTTTAAACCACTTGCAGTACCTAACTGATACATATTTAATAGTAAGTTGCTTGTTAGTCACAGCTCGACTTGATTTATAATTCTTTGAGACATGACAAATATTATATAATACTCCAAGGATGTTCTTTTACACGATATTCTGTAATACAAAATAGTTGAATGTCGAAAAGGTGTTACTAGAATACGGTGTGCATCTTATCTCGATTTTTCATCATCTATATAAAAGAACGAAAATTATCTAATATTTCTTTATTCTCATCGAACGGTAGAATATGGTGCGTGTGAGTGGGGATGTGGATTTCGTTTCGAAGCGACACATCCCGACACCCCACATTCACACCTTCTCAATATCTACGAAAAAGTTCGTGGTATTTTTAATGATCAAAAAAATCTTATTTTAACAGTAGAGACAAATTTTTCACTATTCTATAGGAATCGATTACCGATGAGTATTTATTAGTGAAAAATCAATTCAAGATTTAAATAAAAATAGTGTCTCATTCATATGGTATTGGTTATTATTAGAAATATTAATTCATATGCCTCATACAGAAATAGCTAAAATATAAATGATAAATGAATGTCAATTACAGTACCAAAACAATGACGTAGAATAATATCAAATTGATAGCTTTGAAAATACTTATCATTATGATAACTTAATATAGTGGTATACACGTGATTCATTTGTTTATCGATTGCTTAATAAAGCACTTCGCATGATGGATATTGACATTATATTTAAATTCTGTTTTATAATTACTGATCTTCATTGCATTGACTTATAAACTTAAAGAAGATTTCACTGAAGCAATAAAGTATTACAAACAGATGCTAGAAATTCGATTAAAAGCATTTCCGATAAACTATCTCTCAATTGCTCATACATACAGCACGATAGACTCATTTTACAGAGAAATACATAATATCCTAGCTTCACTAGAAAATTATATCAAAGCGCTTCAGCTCAGGTTAAAATTTTTTGCCACCACATTATATTTCAATAGTAGACAACTACACATATGTTGGATACGCTTATGACGATGCAGCTAACTACCCTATGGCTTTGGAGAACTATGAAAACGCTCTAAATTCCATACTGGAATTCTCTCAAACAGACAAACAACTTCTCGTCGAACTATATGGTAGAATCACTGATGTTTATGGCAAAATGAAAGATTACAATAAAGCGCTATAGACTTGTGGAAAAAGCATTAGAGATTGATGGTGATACGCAAGATCTCGCAGCTATTCATCGAACAATTGCACATATTTATAGACATAAAGAAAACCACGCAGCATCAGCAAAAAGTTATTCTAAGGCACTAGAATTGGCATTTAAATGTTTACCATTGAATGATAAGGTAATAGCAGAAATTCACAGTGAGACTGGATACTCTTATGAAGATGTAGGCAACGATACTATGGTGTTGGAGAACTATGAAAAAAATGCGAAATATTATATTAGAATCTTTCACAATGCACGAACGATGTCTGCTCGAATTGTCGAGCAGAATAGTTGACATCTTTCACCTAATGAGCCCTAGTGGAGAATGAGGAAAGTTTAATATTGTAAGAATTCATAATCTTCTCTCTAGAGTTATCGCTATTTAATTATGATATTAATATAAGACTATGTTTATTGCAAAAGGTATCGAATGAATGAATTGAGATCAAAAGCTTCTCACTTTTATAAGCCTGTGCTTTTAAACTGGTTATGATTATAGGTATGTTGGTGTATTTATCGTTCAACCATATTCGCACCTTTTTGTAGGTTTATTTATGATTAGGGATGCAACGGTGTGGGTGTGGAGTGTGGATAAAGAGAGGACATACTCCTACACTCACACCCATTTTTAAATGATGCATCATGTAATATCTCTAACGAACACATGGCTTTTTGACTAACAGTTGAGTCGATATCTTTGATTGATAGTTTATTAAAGTAAGAAAAGCATAAGCAAGTATAGAAAGAATATTATAATTATTTTTCATTAATTTTGGTTTAATGAAGTGAATAAATTGCAACGGCATGTGCACCTAAAACAAAAGAAAAAAACTGTTATTTAATTTTCTTTATTCTTAAAAAGTAATTTTTCAAATTTACCGGCTGATGAACGAACTTTCCAATGTGTAACCATGTTCTAATGGAAGAATTTTCCAAATACTAAGTTGAAAAAGAATTTTTTTTTTGATAAAAAAAGAAATAAATGAGTTTACTGTGGAACGAATGATTTTTCAAGACAATACAAAAGAAAACTTCGATTATATTTTGCTGCTGTTTTCAAATATTCATCATTCAAAATGAACAATTTTAAATAATATAATAAATACTAAAGTGCATCAATATCAATAACTTGATCTAATTCCTAAAATAAAAATAGTGTATTTATGATCAAAGACTACTTGTCATCAGTTCTAGTTGGAGTCTCTCTCACAGGATTATTCTAGATTTTACAAGAAAAACTTTGAAATAAGCAGACTAGGAAAGAAAAATAGTACATTTCATTTTCCAAATTTAAATGACCATGAGCTTAAACATAAAACATATATGATTCTCTTTTGTGAATTTCTAAAAAAAAATCATCATCGAAACTTTTCTCGATCTTTTGTTAGCATTACGAATACTGAGACACTTTTACCCGCTGTGGTAGGATATTACATGCTAAAGCTTTGTTTTTTAGACTTTTTCTCTCTGATGATATCTTCGCATGCACATGCTTCTCATATCTAGGTATATGTGTATGTTCTTACCAACTTTTTTGAGTTTGACTGACGGATTTTCGTTCTTTGCACATCATTTTCGTTAGTTACCTTTGTCGTTGAAAGACAGTGAAGAACTATTTGCAACGTCAATAAGCAGACATCATATAAACGAAGACTAAGCATTAGAGAAAACAAACTAAGGTGAGTATTCACTGATGCAAATAAATTTATTCATCATTTTCTGCTTAACTGACATTTATTTGAATTATTAATAGTTTCTATTTCACCATAGATCGAGCGAATGAAGTTCATTTGTTTTTGACCTATTGAAATTTCCAAACATGGAATAAGACTTTCTATCACGAATTTCACTTATGAATGACTCAAACAAAAAGCAAGCTCTTCTATTCATGAGTTCTTCCTTGTTATTGCTCTATATGGATATCGCTCAATTGGATAAATCTTGTGATATTATTTACTTTTTATTGATCAAAGTTGTGCCGATGTGAAAGGTGAGATATAGTGTAAGAGTTATAAACTTATCGGCACAAGGTCACCAGATGTTTTTTTGTTAATATAATATTATATACGATGAAATCATTTTTGAACACTCATGAATGGAAATCTTACGCGAAAATGGTGTATCGATACGATGAATTTCTTATTTTAATATGCTCATTCGATAGAACGATGGCGAATCTATATCTCTATATTAGAGTCGAATAGTTAGTTTCTTGTTTTTGTATCTTCAATAAGCTAGAACGACATTTCGAGGACTCATAGTAACGATTAGGGAGAGATTTTTTGTTTGGTTTCCAACATAAATTTCATATCTACCGAGTTTATTATTTATCTATAGTTACGCTGAAATATTTTTAAAATAAAAACATTTCTATCCAAGTAGTAGGTTTTCCCCAGTTCTATCTGTTGCAGAAAGAATATTTCAAAAAGGCTAATTGTTTTTTAGATCACTTTGTACATCGTATAAAAGAGAGAAGATAAAAGGTGGTCGTTTTTTTGCTCACAATAGCCGCTCACGACTGTGAGTGAAAACGCTCACCTTTTTTTGCCTTCATTAACATGCGTTTCGACTAGTGAGACTGAATGAGAAAAAAAGATAATGAAAAATGATGATAACGAGTCTGACGTGTGAAAGGTGCTAGTGATCTGTAATCTTTTTCTCTCTCCTTGTTATTTATAGAAGTTTTTATTTAACCATATCCTTTTTACTCTTTTTATTTAGTACAATCAATTCACAATGTTGATACCGATCATCTATAAATACTCTTATAAATTTATTATTCTGCTAATCTTTCAGTTGATTTCATGTGATGATGCATTACCCTGTATATTTACCACAAATATATATTCGAATGGTTTAAAACAACAATTAAAAGTAGAATCATGAGGTTCTGATAGTATTCGAATAGGTCTTATGTCCAGATGTAATTATACAGACGCCAGACTATCAAGCGTTACTTCCAGAAAAACCAACACCAGATAAAGAAGATTGTCAACAACCAAATAGAAATACATTTATTAATGGTAATATTGAATTTATCATCAATGACGATAATGAAACATGGTCAATTCAACGTCCATCGGATGGACTCATTCTCATTCAAGTACAGTCAACTAAATTTTTACCATATAATTATCCAGTCTCTGTTTATTCGCCTATTTATACTCTTTATAAATTATCATTGATTTATACTCATATCCAAAATGGATATCTATATGGTTTAGGACAACATCATTATGGTCACAATCTAACACTGCCATATCATAATTTTCATTTGCCATTTGTTTTTTCATCAACTGCACCAACAAATGGTAATATCACAATACCATGGTACATACATACGTCAGGTTTCGGATTTCTTTGGAATCAACCAGGTTATGGTTAATTTGATGTTCAAAATGATACAGAAATAATGTGGACTGCAAATGCTACACATCAACTTTATTTATGGATTACGACAATACCGAAAGAGAAAACGCTCTTTTCATCATTCTACCCTATTATTATGAAAAACTATGTTGATGTTATTGGCCATCCAAATTCATTACCACCTTTTGCTTCGGGTTTTTGGCATTGTAAAAATCGTTATCGTACTCAAAAAGAATTATTAGACGTAGCAAAAGGTTATTATGATCGTCAAATACCAGTGAGCGTTATTGTCATCGATTACTTTCATTGGACAGCATTTGGTGATTGGAAATTTAATAGCACATGTTGGCCAAATGTACCACAAATGATGAATGAATTAAAATCGTATGGAATGAAATTAATGGTATCTATTTGGCCTCATGTAGAAGAAAAATCTGAAAATTTTATAACTATGAATACAACAGGTTTATTGACCCATGATGCTAATGGAAGTGTTTTACCAACAACTGGTCTAATTAATAATTTTTATTATTATATTCCCGATCAATTTAATTCAACTACACAGCAATACATATGGAATAGAATAAAAGAGAATTATTTTGCTTACGATATCAAAATTTATTGGTTAGATGCTGACGAACCGCAAAATACTCGACCTGGCTTACAATGGTGGTATGGTCGACATGATGATGAAATTGCAATGGTATTGGCAAGAGAACATCAACGGATGTTTTGGGATGGACTAAGAGAAGAAAAGGAACAAGAAATAATTATGGTAAGTAGACAAGCATGGATAGGCAGTCACTTGTTCAACGTAGTTGTATGGAGCGGTGATATTGATTCGTCATGGGAAGAATCATTCAAACAGATTAAAGTAGCACAAAATGTTGCGTTATCTGGAATTTATTGGTGGACAACAGATATTGGTGGTTATAGACCTGTTGGTTTAGATGATAATGAATTTCAAGAATTAATATTGAGATGATTTCAATTTGGAGCATTCTGTCCACTATTTCGATTACACGGTTACCGAGACCCACCTTTGCTAGACAATGAGTGCGGATCTTCTGGTGGTCACAATGAAGTATGGTTATTTAATTATAGTAGGCAAATTATTGATATAATTGAACTGCGCGAATCTTTACGTGACTATGTTGTATATCATTTAAATATTTCAAATCAAAATGGAACACCTATTCAACGACCAATGTTTTATGATTTTAACAATGATATTGAATGTTATAAATTTGAAGATCAATATACGTTTGGATCAGATTATTTAGTTGCTCCTGTTTATACATATCGAGCCACACCACGTTTCGTTTATTGACCTGCAATCGATAAACAGAATTTTATCTGGCAACATTACTATACGAAAAAAGTTTACAAAGGCGGTCAACGTTATAATATTTCTACTACTTTAAATGATTTTCCTCTTTTTGTAAAGATCGCGTCAAATGATATTAGTACATCAGTACATTGATTAATCATGATTTTATTTCTTATAGCTTTAGTTTTCTTTTACCAGAAAAGTTTTATATGGTAATTTTATATTCTAATCAGTTTGGGTTGTGTCAGATTCATGTGAAAACGTATTAGTAAAATACACTCTGACTTAGTCTGAGACAAAAGCTCAAAAAATAAACAAATGCTTCGAAAATTGACTTCATATGAAGTTGCGGTGAATGCCGGATGCATCAATTAGTACAATATTTACATAATATTACTAATTTACCGGTTTCTCGTCTCACAACATACCAGATTTCTTTGCCCGACCTAACCAAATACTAATAAAAATCTAACTTCAAGCAGTCCATGCAATAAAAACTAGCCATGTCATGAAATTATGGATGAAAATTCTATGTATATATAAAGGATGTTTGAAAATAAATAAGGATAAATTGTCAATGACATTTTTCATACTTTTTCTTAACGTAGAGGGTTGAAATTTTTATCACATATATATCTAACTAAGATCCTCAATTTTCCAAACTTTCAGCTATGTACCTAAAACTAATAACCGCTCTAGAATTAAAGAGGGGTGGGTGTAAACGCAATAAATCGATAACGGCAGCAGTTAGCGACCTGCAATTTTCACCAATTGAAAGAGAAGCAATCGGGATATCTTTTTCTCCAATAATTTATAAGACGAAATCACTTTAAAACTAATTATCGACGAAAAACATGAATGAATATAACCTGCCATCTAGATAAAATTTTGATTTTAACCTTTGATTTAGATAGAGGGACTTCAGATCTATAGTTCAAGATACAATACAAATGTCTCTCTTATTACAAACATACGTTGAGCAAATGGAACCTTGTCTTTACATGCGCAAGTAATAGAAAATTTTATCTAGATGGCAGGTTATATTCATTCATGTTTTTNCGAATGTAGATCCACTGATTATTGGTGAACTCGAGAGGTAACGGACCTAGAGGTTGACTAACTTCAGCCAGATTTTCGTAGAATCGTACGAATGAATACGTGTCACCGTTACATGTATCGGTAGCAAGAGACAAGATGAACAGGAGTAGAAAAGTCATTTGATCCATGTGCAGTGAATATTTCGTCCACCTACTTTATACTGACTACTTGAATAGTGTTCGTTCACTGCTTTCTCTTTCCAATATTTAAACAATGTCGTCTAATGGATGGCTGCCACGTAGAATGAAAAACAAATGTTAATTTATTATTCGTTCTCTCATTAGCCTATAGCGAGTAAATCCAATAGAGCGTCGCTCTTCGTAATTACATTTCATGCTCTTATAAAACTATCTTTTGCTACTTTCTATAGTGTCTCATAGACTCAAGACAGAATTGAGCGCATGATAGTTTTTACTCTTTTATCTTTGACATGAGTGTTTGTTTCAGTCTCAGTTACGCATGATTAACAGTTCTAAAAATATTATCTCAAATCTTTAATATGATTTTCTCAAAATCTTTTTCTAATTGAACATTCTGCAAACAAATTGAACACATTCAACGTTAATCTAGAAAACGTTCTAGGCATGGAGATAAATAAGAGCCATTATTTTCTATGAAGTGGAGGAGTTAAATTCCTTGGAATTATGCAGATCAGAACCAAATCGATTAGTAAAAACTTCATTCGAATACGACTCGTTGTTTTATTCATAGAATGATCAAAGTCCTCACAGAATAACAAAAGATTTGTTTTTCTCAGTTACACTCGGGATCCGTATTGGCCTTTTAAAAAAAATGTTTCAGGCAAGTTACTCTAATAATTTGATTATCTATAGCCTATACAAACTCAAATAGGTCACATACATGCGAATCTTTTTCGAATAACGTGCAATTTCCTTCTTGCTTCTATCATCGTTTGCCTGATTCATTTCCATCAAAAGTTTAATTTTTGGAGGATTAGTTTTCTTTAACTAGAAAAGGGTGTGTGTGTGGGTGTGATTGTCATTTCCTCATCTACACCCACACTCACACCCCACACCCGCACCCACCCACACCCCACCCTTGATTGAGAAACAGAAATTTCTATTGTATTTCTTAATTTTATCGATCTTTGCATTGATCAAGTTAATCAATCGTAGGGTTTAATGTCACTTTCATACATGAAATATATTTGCAAAGAGAGAGAAAGGAATTGGAAACATTACAATAAGAAGTATCAAGGAGAGAGCTTTGATTATCTGACATATAACTCAACGTGAAACTTCTTCATTACGCTTCGAAATAGTCCTCTTGCACAATACTGTCGTCCTTGTCGAATACGATTGTTGTTGAATCTGATTTGTAACCCTTAATTATGTTTTTAATCGCCGAATTAGTAAGATGATGTGATATTATGAAATGTGATGTGAAGTATTTGAAACTCGTCGACCGAAAGTAACACGGTGTGTTTGGTATTTGCTTCGGGTGACATCGAAACGGGTTCGTTGTATGACCATAGAATGGACATACTAATTTATTATGTTTGTTGAAGATGTCTTCATCATCACTAGACAGTTTTGTCGTCTTTGGATCTTGACCTTGTAGAATAGCCTTGACTAAGCGTTTAGCATAAATAGTGTCCATGGAATGTATATGTACAAAATGAGTGTACAAGACTTGTCGGCGAACCGTTTGATTACTGCATAGACGAGTTAAATGCTTTGCTTTGGTAAGACCAAATACACCATCAAACGTCAATGGACATAATCCACGATACTTAGCTATCGACGACGATGATATTGGTTTCATTGCAACATCAACTGCATCCTAAATAATTTGTTGTTATCAACTCTGGTTCTTTATAATTCACGATTATCAAGATGTCCTATCATCACTTTGCTTTACCTTCGTATTATCCACTGGTCGACTAAAATAAAGTATTTTTAAGATATGTAGTGATCTTCTCATATTCAGCAGAAAACTTACTTGAAGAGACACATTCGTGTGGAGGTATCATCAATATCCATTGAATTATTATTAACTTCAAGAATTATATTAGAAAATCTCATGTTTGGATTGACTACGAATATAGACTTACTTGTTTCCATTGTCGTTGGTTTTTCTGAGACATCTAAACAGAATGAGAGAAAATGAATAATCGATTGAAAAAAATGGAAAATCTATTCAAGATATAATACGTACATGTATTATGAACAGAACAACTCGATTCATCGAAATCAGATGATCTGAAATATTCAACCATTGAAATGAACAAAGACAAAAGAATAATGACTTACTGTGATTCTTGTCGAGCATTACATAGTATCAACCCACCTAGAAATTCTTTTTCACCATTTTCAGATGTTGGCTCATTGTGAAGAAACATTGAATCAACTGATGAATCATTCTTAGCTGAAAGACAAAAAAAGACCGACGTTGACCCTTAATCCAAAACGAAATAAAACTGACCAACTACTGGATAGTTTTCCACCAGTGATGATTCCACTTTAACTACCACTTCGTCTATAAGAAAGAAAGAGAATTCGACATTAAGTTTCCGTTCAAAAATTTTACTTTTTTGATTTGCTGCAATAATCATATGAACTTGATCGAGAATAATCTGTATGTCATCAGCGGATGACGAAGTTGCAAGTGCACTCTTTGCTTTTTCCAACAGTGTCTTATGTTGTTCAATTATATGCATCTTTTCCTCGATTATCATTTCGAGTGTGGATAAAACAGATGTCAATTGAACGATACATGTTTGCAATCGTTGTTTGTTTAGTGTCGCTTTTTCATCATGTTGGATCAAATGAGGTAGACAGATGAAACGAATACAACAGTGACATTCGTACAGTGGCTTTGTTTCACCGGTACACGTCTCATCAGCACACCGTCCTACTTGAGGCATATCTAGAAGACAGAAACTGATTAAAAAAATCCATTAAGTTTCATACGAATTTGATCTGTTGTTCTTGTTACATCAAAAAAGAGTTACCTATTATAAGTTTTACATTTTTTTTGTTTTTTTTATTTAATGAATCTACACACACTCCCAGAGAGAGATTGTAATGGAAAAATACCATTAAAACGGTCTTTTCCATTGAAATTTGTGCCTAGGTTTTTATTTTATCTTCTTTCGTTTCATCTAATTTCCTGTTGCATATCTGACTCAATATATTCTCTAAATATATTTGATGCAAAAAATCACACTATAATTTAGAATGTACTCTCAGGCAATTCAGCTAAAAAATTTTGAATTTTTCTCAGACAAAAACAAACTAACAAATATATCCTTTTTCTTTAGTATTGATTATGCTCAAGTTTGAATGAAAAGTATTCAATCATCTAAAGAACAAAATATTTTACTTATCAATTAGAGTTATTTCCATTGTTTCGTAAACATTGAGTGAAATTGAGTGCATCATATAAAACATTATTTTTTGATCATTTTCACAGCGTGTTATAATTGTCTAATTCCATCATGAACTTATCAGAAGAATGCTTTAACTGATACCTTGGAATCTAATTTTTATAAATGAAGTTTCTCTGAGTGAATCACTTTAAGCGATATCAGTTCGCTATTCTTTGGCGAGATAATAACAGAAGGATATACTCAAAATGCTAAATCATAAAGAATAGCATATTCTAATCTAAACAAACGATGTGCGGAGATTTTTCAATTTAATTCAGATAAGATGGTCAGTTAGGTCTTATATCCATATTACATATAGAATGTGAAGATATCTTACGTATACGGAAATGTCTGTAATGGACTATAGTATCTGCCTAAAAAAGGAGAATGTCTCAATAAACATTTTATTAGTGAACAGATGATAAAGTTGTTTACTAAGTGCACAAAACAAATTTCCTCATTTTGTAACGAACTGCTATAATTTATAGTCGACATAAAATCTACGTAGTTATAAAATCTGATTCTCAATGTTGTTAAGAATAAATTGAAAACAATTGCAGCTTTGTTTATTTAAGTCAGTGAGATATAAGAGACGGGCTGCACTATTAAACTAAACAAATAATTTATTCGAAAAAGAAATCTCAACTATTCAAATTGCTCAAAATCAGAGGATCGATTTTTAACACTACCTTTTCGTATATTGTGTAAAATGTCCTCAGTTGTTCGGAAAGAAACGAGTGACGTATTACACCTAGATCAGCTGTGTTTTAAATGAATCTATTTTACGCTTCTTTCTTTCTTTTCGATCGGTGTTTTTCGTTTGAGGACAAAGCTTATCATCGACCAATAGAAATATACCAATCAAATAATTTAGATACATGAAAAACATAACACTAAAACAAAAAAGATAAGATAAGATAAAATGGTAGTTTAGTGATCGTTCAGGCATATACAGATATATTAATAAATGAATATATGAAGACGATAATAAAAATACAATTTTATCTAGATGAAAAATTTATTATGAATAAAAACAAACTATACATACTGTTTTGACTAAAAAGAAATCTTGATTATTCATTCATTAAATAGATTTATCTTTTTCGTAAATCATCATGGTAAAGAAATTACTAAATGCACCTTGAAACCGGCTTAATGAAAAAAGAACTGCAACTATTATCGACACCAAAATATAATGCACCTCGATGTTTTTTGAATATCTGGAGAATGATAATAGCTAGAGACTTGCGGTTTTCATCATTAGAAAGAAAAATGTGGGGGAAATCTGTTAATACCAAAAACATTTTGTAAATGGTCATCTGAGTGGTCAGTCAATGTCCGAACATATGTCGGACAGTTGCGTTCAAAAATTTTCCANCATTATGATCCCGAACTAAAAGAACAATCAAAAGTTTGGATGTCAACAACTGATCCACGTCCAACCAAAATTCATCGAACCAAAAGTGCCGGGAAAAGAATGGTGGCTATTTTTTTCATGAAATCCGGTTTAATTAAGTCTGTTCAATTAGAAACAGGTGGAACAGTGAACGCAAGCTGGTATGTCAATACATGCTTACCACAAGTCTTCAAAGCTGCATCTGAACGAAGAGAAACACGAGGTCTCATCTTTCATGACGATAATGCAAGGCTGCATCGAGCTTGGATTACGAACGAATTTTTGCTGGAAAATCATGTAGAACAGTATCCAAATCCACCATATTCTCCAGATTTAAGTCCTTGTGACTTCTTCTTATTCCAGAAGCTCAAGAATCAGTTACGTGGTATTCGGTTTAACGACGACAACGAAATGTTAACTGCTTTACAACAAGCCATTGACAGTCTCACGAAAGAAGACTTTAAAAATTGTTTCGAAGACTGGTTTATTCGAATGCATAAATGCATTGATACTGAAGGACAGTACTTTGAAAAAATAAATTAAAATTGTCCTCTGAATATTTATCCTAAAGGCTAGTGAAAAAACTTTTGTAGTGTCCCACGTATGTCAACAATTCCAGAAGACTTCATGAAATTTTACAACCGAAGTCTCTGTTGTTATCTTCCTGGGCTAATCTAACAAGTGAATACAATTTGAACAAAATCAGTCAATTTCATATTATCATTGAACTCTGTCTTGAATTCAGTTTACTGTCTAAAGGTAAAGAACAAATAACAAACGGCTAATATTCAAATCGAGATGATATTATTAATAAGCTCTACAATGTTCATTTACTCATAGTGAATTTTCTCTTTTGACAAGTGAAATAGACTATTGTTCTTTAATTTCCTTCACTTGAATATGATTCTATTACAAACAATATTCTTTAGAAAACATACAAGAGATTTCAAATAGATGATCTAGCCGCAACTAGCACAAATAGTACGAGTTTTTGATCAATAAATACTAATTTCATAAAAACTGAAATACAGTTTTTTTCTTCAATTCTAACTCAATGATCCAATATCATTTTGACTAGTAGAAATTGGTGGTGGCCGCCGAGGTAGTTGATAAACCACTACAGCTGTCGATCGTTGTGGAATTGTTCCTAATGAAGCACCGGTAGCTTGAAGATCAGAATGATCTTGTGAACGAGATATCTATAACATATGAGAAATGTTAAATAGATCAAAAAAGTAAAAAGTATGGCTTTGATTAATATTATTAATTTCAAACTATCTTAAAAGCATCATACCTCACTGTCACTATTAAAACGCTGTGTAATCCTAATTTTACTGAACAAGTCAATTTACATTGTTAGATAAAATCAATATAAATAAACCTATACCTTTTTCTCTGTCGTCTATCAATAAAAAATAGTTTCGATTGATTTTGTGCCGATGTTTTTTTACTATTTGAATAAGCTTTTTCAATTGAACTCATACTACTTATATAATGAAGTGATGAACCAGTTAATGATGGTAATGCAATAGCTTGTTGTTGTGATTGTTGAGCAACAATAGTATGATGAGGCGGATGACGTGTTGGTCGAAGATGACCATTACGCATAGTTATCGTTGGAAAATTATTTACCTGATGTGGATCATTAAAAATTTTTGTAACTGACGGAATCGATGGTGGTGTACTAGTAAATTCAAGTGAATCATTTGTTGATTTTGTAAGTCCATTATTTGGTATTGATAATTCTCTCGTTGATATAATTGTTTTATCTTCTTTAATTATACTATTATTTAAATCAACAGCTACAGCACTACTAAATGTACCCATGCCAGAAAGTTGATCATCATCTGATTGTTGTATCGATAATGGTGTTGATGATAGCAGAGAATTAGCTTGTGATAATTTATGTGTACCAACTAAATAACCTTTTTGTTTTCTATATTCATCAATATAACTTCGTGTTGATGAATAAAATTTAAATTTACTTGTAGTTTCATTGAGTCCGGCATAATATTTTGGTGAAAAAACACGAGGATTTTTTAAATTACGAAAATTTTTTAATGGTCTTAATAATTCATTTCCATCCGAACGTAAACGACTTATTGATATATCTGGCCATGGTCCTATACGATCGATTGTGGCATAAAACGTACGTGAATTCATTGATAAAGAATGACGACGTAGTGAATGTTGATGATCAACTGATGATGAAGTCGCTGTATGCACTTGTTGAGAGCCAGGATGAATACGTGGTGGTTGTAATGTATGTGAACCGAGAAGTGATGGTCGTTGGTCACTACAACGAAGTAAATCTCGTCTGAGTGCTTTTTGACTTTTTAATGTTAAATTTGCTTTTAAACATGGTGTATGTGAATCTAAATGAGCAGTTCCTATGCCTAAATCCACTTGAGTAGGTGATATTGTTGTAAGATCAATAATTGGTGCTAATGAATGTGATACACGTTTCGTATTTTTATTGAGAATCGAACGTTTCGAAGATTTGCGCTTCATCTGTTAGGCACACATAAAAAGTAAGCACTTGAAAAGTCTTATACCACAACGAGTGCCTTTCGTCTTTCGACTGTTTCGTTAAAGGAAGACAGAGGAAGAGAGAGAGAGAGAGGGAAAGAGAGAAGAAAGAACGTTTTTCATCGTTGCTCCTACCACCAATAGTTTACTGATGTTGTTTTTTTATATAAATTATATAAAGCCAAGCGAAAAAGAAAAGAGAAAAAAGAATAAAGCTGATTAACTGAAACAATTTTATAAAAATATGCAAACAAAACTATGTGCATTTTCGAAGTCGTCTCGACGACCGAATTTTGAGCATTAAAAATAATTATAAAAAAAAGAACCTTTAAATTTATTTTTCTAATTAAATTTAAAAGGAAAGAATGAAACTTATTCTTACATCTATATGAAAGATTTAATTTATAGAAGACAAAAAAAGTTAAAAAAAATAGTTCTTCATCGATTCTGTCACATATTTAATCATCATCGTCGACTGACATCTGTTTTTTATTGGTGCCAAATAAAAAGAGGTTGTTGCTGATTCTTTTGTAAATAAATCAATTGGAAATGGCGATTGAATTCAAATTAGATTTTCGTCACATTTTATTTTTCTAGATTGCAAAATGCCGAAAAAAGGCAAAGGAAAAAAAGGTGGAAAAGGCAAAAAAGGCAAAAAAGGGTGAGATTGTCTTAATCATTTATCAATAAGAATGATAATTAATGGAATTTTTATAGTAAAAAAACGAAAGAAAAAGAAGAATCAGCTGTTAAAATGGGTATCCATAATTCAAATTTATGGGAAGCTCAACTTAATGTGATGGATTTATCACGGAAACATTATCGGTCAGAAAAATAAAAATTACTGATTTTATTTAATTATGTGATTTTATTTTTACTATAATAGAGATATAGCTGGCACTCTAGCTAATGATAATGAAAAAATGCGTGATCAAATGCGTCTAACTGAAAAAGACACAATTGATGTTGTAACTTTTCTAAAGAAACAAGATGCTGATAAAGATGCCGAGGTAAATAATTATTCTCTTCATAGACAAAATAATAGCTATGTGTGTTTTTATTGATAATAGATAGATCGTTTACAACAAAATGTGAAAACTCTCAAAATGAATCATCGGAAAGTTAAAGATGACTTAGTATGTATGAATAGAAATATAAATGCATGTAGAAATTATTTTTCTTTTTTAAGATTGGTGATTTCAGTCGAGACAAACGTCAATTAGATGAAAAATTATCTCGAAAAGAAAGTGAACTTGAAATAATTCGTCATGAACTTAATCAAGTAAAAGAATTTCGAAAGAAAAAAACACAAATGCAAAAAGAACTTGAAGAAGTAAAACTTATTATTTTTCATTGATATCATTTTCCTTGTTTTGTTTTGTTTTTTGATTTATCATAGATTAAAGAAGCAATGATTTCAAATGAACGTGAACATAAAGATACAATAGAAAAATTAGAACAAAAATTTTTTGAAGAAAAAATGCGTTTACAACAAGAATCAAATAAAAAAATTGAAGAAATAGCTACACGTGCACAAGATGAAGCTTTAAAGTAAAATGAAACAACAAATCAAAGAAATTTTTCATCAAATTTTCTTTTCTTTATTTCAGAAGTTTAAATGAAACAAATCGTAATGTCTACAAAGAAAATATTGATCTTATTGATTCATTACGTATGCATAAACAAGAATTAGATGAATTACAAAAAACAAAAGAACAATTATCAAGATTAATAGCAACTACAAGTAATGATAAAGAATTAAATGAAATATTAATAAAAGAAAAACTTGAACAAGTACAAAAACAAAATAATATGATCAAAGAAGTAAAAAAAAAAAGAACAAATTAAATTAAATATAAGAATTTATTTTTTTCTCTTTAAATATTAGTTAAAAGAAAAAATTCAATTATTAGAAACATCATTAACACAATTTATACAAGAATTTGATATTGAACGAAAAAATATTCTTGAACAAACACAAATTAAACATGAATCATCACGTAGTGAAATCATAAGATTACAACGTATATTAGAATTAAAAACAAAAGAAATGAATAAAGTTAAAAAATTAGCTAAAATTATTATTGAACAACGTACAGAATTAGAAACATTCTTCTTGGATGCTTTACAACATGTTAAAAAACAAATTGCTTTAAATCGTTCACAATATCGAAAAGATGCATTTAATGCTTATCAAAATCGAATGTTAAATGCTCATCATGGACAAGGAGATTATCCAAGGATACGAACATTTAATGAAACATTTCATGGATATAGTACAAATAGTGTTTTTCATGATTTAGAAGAAGCAACGAAATGGTAAATGTTCTTATAAGATATGATACAAAGGCACAAGAATCTAGAGATGTCCATCGCGATTGAGAATGTGCGGGATCATGAGAAAGAGAAGCTGCCGAAACCGGCACCAGAACTACAAAAAAAAAAGTTATTCCAACCGTCATTGAAGATTATAGTTAAATATTCAATGGTTTTTCCTAGATCAGGACTAGAACCAGATCAGATTTACAGAGGCCATAACCGAGATAAAAAAAACGTAGTTTCGCACATTGCTAGTCGCAATAATAGGAAATAAAAGCTTGTACGCAGCGCCTGAAAGCTAATTTAAACGCCCTGTGATAAGCTATGAAAAAAAAGTTGCCATTGACACAGTGGACATGTCGAAAGTAATAATGAAGTTTTATAGTCTCTAAAACAATTGCATACTGAATTGAAAACGGATCGAAATACCAGTAAAACCTACAATGGTTTTTCTATAGGTATATTAGAAAGGAAATATTCTCGATTTGACTCAAATTTTTTATTTAGTTGAGAAAATTTGAAAGATTTTGATACAAACGATTCTTTCGATATAATAGCGAAAAGGCTTTGTAGACTTTGTTTCAATACATCAATCTTGTTTCAATACAGTATTCAATATTTTTTAGAGATTATAATTGTTCCTCAGACGAAAATTTTGATCATCAATACTAGGGTCTTCGTAAAAATATCGGAAATTCAGACCGGCTTTACACATGTGAAATATACTACATCATAAATGACATAATTTTCTGATAGATTACAAACTCTTTTAAAATTTTACCAATGAACTAGTCGAGTTCAATTTTAAAAATTTTACTAAATCAATTTTGTTTTTGAATGTTCCATTGTATCGATTTTTATTGTCACAAATAATTTTCGTTCTTGTTAAAAGCCGAAAGGAAATTGTTCTGATGTGATCGCTTCAAGATTTTCTTTTCTAATCTCAAATAAGGGTTAAGATCTTTTTCTTGATTCGTTAAAAAGACTTTCAATTTTCCTTTTATAACACATTATTTCTCTCTGAGATACTTGCTTTTCTATTTCAATCGATATTGATCTCTTAGATGTGTTAACAAATGAGTAAATTCAATGAAATCAACTTAAACAAATAAGACATTTTTGCAAATATTTACTTTTCATCTAGTTAAAAAAATAGTAATATACTAAAACGTTTGTAACAATGAATAATTTTATATGAAATCAAATAAAAAAAAACACAAATATGACTGTAGCCATATGATTTTTCTTAATTACATTTCATAAATAGGACAAATATGGGACCTGAAGTTGATATTGCTGATTTAACATGGGAACAAAAAGAACAGGTACTTCGAGCATTATTTATACGAATGAATACAAACAAATCCAATATGATAGATTTCTCTATGAATGAGTAAATATTAAATACAATTATAATTGCCAATTTGTTTTATTTTTATCTTTTTATCATATAGAACTCATATGGATAATGATGATCGTCCAATTGATGTTACTCATGATAATGCAAACAATCTTTTTCTAACACAAGGAGTTAATACAACACAAAATGCAAGTTTATCTGATTCAAGAAGTAATGCAAGCATATCGGATGTGCCCAAATTACCTCAAATTACTGCTACAGCTGCTACATAAATCGAGCTTATGTTTTTTTTCAAAATATTTTGTATATGGTTCCTTTGATAAACTGGTGATAAAATTCAAATAAATTCTTATCCAAAATAACTCATCTTATGACAGTCAATAAGAGATTCTGAATTTTATTTGATTCTATATTTAATGAAAGTGAAGGTGAGAAGTGATAGACAAAGATCTGATTGATCAAAATAAAGAATGTTTTGCTAGTTGAAATTTTCAATATTTTTTCTTTTGGTCTTTCTACAACACATCAATCAGCTCTATCAAAAATAGCGGTTGCTTCTTCAATAACCTCATGTTACCTACTAGGACATTTGTTTCAAGGAGTAAAGGTAAATGAACGAAAGATGGTGAAATACTTCAGCTAGGAATTCCACAGCCACCTTTGACTAAACGGAATCAGAAAACTGTTATCACGTTTTAATACTCGAATTGTTTGTCTTTATTTAACGTCTCTGGCTCATGAAAAAAAAATTTCTTGTTTCGTCCGATCAAAAGTGCCATTTTAGCTTTGTCTACAATATACATATACTTGGCCCATGAAATATAGGATGACATTACTAAGTGTATCGAAGATTTCTATAAACATATTTTGGAATTTACTGTGAAAGGTGGTTTGAGCTATAGAAAATCTAATTATACTATTGAATAGAGCTCATGGAGTTTTATTGGTAAATTAGCTCTTGAACGCATTACCGTTGATATTACTAGAATTTATTGTTAACTTTACCTACGTCAATTATCAACTTTAATGAGATAATGAATTAGGTAGTGAGTCTAATATAAGATACACAATGTAAAAAAAATAAACCAACAACGTCATTGTATCAAAACTGTAGTAGAATAACTCAAACGTTTCAGTTATCTATTGTATTAAGTTAAATGAAATTCATCAATATTTTCTAGAATAGTGGCCATTTTTCTGTCATTATTCGAACGAGAAAAAACTATCTACTAGTCATTGTAGGCAATAATTCACTAATAGATTAATGAATCCAACTAAAAATCTCACCAATACTCTAGCAAACTATGTGATCTTTTAACTAAAGAAAAAACATAGAATAAACTCGAATTGTATAGTCGAAAACACAGTAAACAGCTTTTTATCTGGTTAAAAAGGCTTGAAGCAAAACTTAAATGTTCTTCATTATAACTTTCATAATATTTCAGCAATTAAGATAAAGTCGTGTCTTTGATGTTCATACCCTTCATGAAATAAATGCACATGAATTTTCAAACCGTCTGTTTTTGTAGTAGCTAAGTTTTATGTGAATGGACACGATTATACAATACTAACAAAAGAATGTATGCAACTAATTGCCTAATAGATGTAAAGTATAAAAGAACGTTCTCTGTTCTTTTTCAAATAGTACCGTAAATCGTCGATGTTAAGCGTATCTATGCCATTCTTTCGTCACACAGGCTACGGGGACATACCATAAACGTGAATGAAACGAAATATACAATGAGAAAATGAAGCAGCTGATGACATAGCATGTCATTATACGAAAGCACACCCCTCGACCGTTACGTTATATTTCATACTTAGATGACCTTATTCTCTAAATCCTATATCTGTACATAACTATTTTCATGGAAATAAATTTTTAAAAAACAAAATTAATTCCTATGAGTTCATTCATGTAAATTGAATTATTTATAGTATTTTCATTTTAAGTGCTTTATCTATGTAAATGAATTGATTTACTTTGCCTGATACAGTATATGCTAGTTGTTATTATAATTGATTATTATTATGGAATATCTGCTAATAAAACAAAATATATGCTTTTCGATTTATTCATTAAAAGTAAGAATAGAGCGAAATTATACAACTACACTTGAGAGATGCTTAAAAAGAATCGACATTTTTTTTTTTGCATCTCAGAAAAATCAAACGAAAAATCAAAGCAAAAATTTGATATAGGCTTTAGTCTCTGTTCATTATTAAAATTAATTGTAGATATTGTTTTTAAGGAATCAAATCAATTAGTAGATATTGAATTGTTTTCTTTGGAATTTATCTCTGATGTTTGACATTCGTTTTCTTCATCTGATATTCCATCAACACTAGCAACAGATAAACGTAATTTCATTTCATTTGTTAATTTTGGTATAAATTGACGTGGAATAAGAAATGATGCAAGATTAAATAAATCAATAAACACTTTATAACGATCACTAAAAATTTAACTTCTTTTAAAACTAATAAATTTAATCATTAAATTTAATCAAACCTGCAAGTTGATCGTAAATAACTATAACCAGCTGAACCACCTGTACCTTGTTTATTACCAATTTGTCGTTGAACAAGTATTACATGATTATCTATAGAGAAATTTTTAAATTAAAGTATTCGTAAATTTCAGTACTCTAATAAAATCAATAAGTCTTACATCGCCATTTAGTAATAAGTGCATCAATATCCATCAATAATGATAAAATTTGATAAGGACCCTAATTAAACAGAACTTCTAGTTTGTTTTAAATAAATAAAAAAAAAAACAAACAAACTTGAAAACGTGGTTGTTCTCGATAGAGCATGATCATCAAAGCACCTAGACAAGCTCGATGACTCATACGTCGATCACCTCTTGCGACTAATTGTTGATGAAACTTTTCATCAATTAATGATCGAAATGTATCAGCCGTCTTCTTTACGTCTTCAATAGCTGCATCATGTGCTGTTGGGTTTGGTTCACTCTTAGAAATTACAAAAAATACGATAAAAAGAAAAACAAATTTTTTAATTTACTTCAGCATTAGCTTGAAGAAATTTAATATATTGAGCAACCGATCGTTTGTATCCTTCATAAAAGTTAAAATTTGAATCTTCAAGACCAGGTGTTCGTTCAAGCCATCGCTAAGTCGAAAAAGAAAAGCAAATAATTATTCGATTTATATTTTATGAAAACAATTGTTTTACTTCAATTAATACGAGTAATGTTGGTTGTTCTAATGAATTAATTAATTTTTGTTGTTCAGATTCACTTGGAAAAGCATTTTTATATGATATCTGATTATAAAGAACTCGGAATTTGTCTGTTAAACCTAATTTATTTTCAATTAATCGAAATTGTAAACTTTGAAAACCACTAGCCGGTGATAAATATGAACGAAATTCCATAAAATCAAGAGGTGTCATTGTTTCTAAAATACTTATTTGATCACATAATAGATGCCAAATTTGAACACATCGTTGAAGACGATTGATTGATACAAACATATGAGTTTCATCAATAATGTTATTACTAAATATTTTACGAAGAGAATCAAGTTCCCAAATGATTTGTTTAAACCAAAGTTCAAAACCTAATCAAAATATATGTATTTTATTCATAATAAGAATGTCATTTTACTTTGATGTATAATTATAAATAAATGTTCATCATGAACTGTGCTTTTATTTTCATTATGTTTTGAACTTAATAATAATTGACAATCGAGGAGTTTATTTAATTGCAAATAATTACCATAGTTTACTAATTCATCACTTGATGGTAAACGTTTCAATTCAGGTGTACTTGCACTTGTTGGACCATAACCAGTCAAAGAAAGTATTTCAGCAAGAGCCTCATTATTAGTTGCACCATTTATAGTTAATTTATCAGTTGCTGTTGATGTTTCATTTTCACGTTCAACATTTTGTGCATAAGGACAGGCCATTTTTTGTTTTACTTAATTCGTCGGCAAAAATTTATCGCTCTAAAGAACATTGGAATAGCTTAAGGATTTTTATTCTAGCGTAAAAACCTAATGTAATCATAGTGAAATAAAAAAGAAGAGACGGCATGATTGGTCTCAAGGATATTGTATTATTAATTGAGTGATCGATTAACTACCTCGATATAATGTATTCATAAGAAATAAGAAATCAATAAGCGATACTAATCAAAATCGAAATGAATAACCTTGAAAATCCGAATAACGGAATATCAGATATATATTTATAAAAATAAGTCAAGGTACTTTTGAGAGAAAAAAAAACCTATTCAGAGCATCTTCTACCTATATTTTCTCTCTCATTTTCAGTGTGATTCGACCACTGTCTTTGTAAAACTGCGTATATCAAGTAGTTATTTAATCTATATATACTTCTATTTCTCAATGAATATGCGTAAATACGATGATTTAATCTATGTCATGGGGTTATTTTTTTAAAACGAAATACATATATACATATATGTATGATCCGGTAAAATATGCCGATAGATGCGTATCTGCACTGAATGAATATCAACGTGACAGAATGAAAATAATATGCTTGATTTGATATTCTGGCTGGATACCAGTCGCCACACCCTTTTTGATTTTCCTTATGTGCTATTGATGTAAAACGAGCGTATATGCTTCTTTCTCTCTCTCTAAAAGTTTTTTTTTAAAACCTTCTTTTTTTATCTGTAAATTAGTGCAGCTGTCGATATCAGCACCATTATAATTTACTTTAGAATATTACTAATAATCAAATATGATAAGAGCAAAACACATTAACTTTTCTTTTCTTATAAGTTACTCCTGTAAAAATATGATTGATTATTTGCAGATTTAGAATGTATTATATTGAACCGTATCTGTTAATTTGTTAGAGTTTTGAGATCAATTTAGTGAATATAACGAAAACAATATCGTTATTTATTATTTTTAAGTATTAATAACAATTGTCATTTTTGCTTTGAAAATATGAGAAAAAGAACAACGTATATATATATATATATATCACCAAGATAACAATTAAAATGCCTAGTATAAAATTTTCACAAACGTGTTTAGAGAAAAAGAGATATTTGTATCAAGAACAAAATAAATGAAGACTAATTAATTCACAATAGGAATGAAAAGAAACGTGAACTTGTTTTTCAATACAAATAAATAAATTCAAAAAAAAAAACACTCTTCTCTCCTTGCTTTTTTTTCTATTTTGTATCGATTGATTCCCATCCATCATCATCAGCCCATTTTTCATCATCAAAAGCAATAAGATTTGATGTTGGTGTTTCATTAGATTTTACTGGAATTGATGATGTATTTGTATGGTCATTGTTTTTCGAAGAAGAAATTGGAATATTGGTATTAGTCGATGCCATTTTTGCCTCATCATTAAGCCATGCTTCAAGGTTTTGATCATGATCATATGTTGGAAGACTACTATTTGATTTAGAATGTTCATGCGAATGACTTGATAAACTACTAGAAGTATTTTGATAACTATAATTATTATCAAATGTTACTGTTGATGACTGTTTATCAGTAGAAGACCAATCATTCTAAAAAATTAAATAAGATTAATTAAAAATTTTTCTTAAAAAAAAAATTTACATTATCCAAATCATTTTGATTATGATGTAAACGTTGATCATCTCGATTTGTTGAATGATAATCTTTTCCTGACCATAATGATTGCATATCCGACCATGTTTTTGTACCTAATTTACCCATTGTTGATGCTATATTCGTTACACCTGATTGAACATTAGTGAGTAATGTTCGATCTTTAGCTTGTTCGCTTACTTTTGATGTTAATTCAGTTGCTTTTTCAGCAGCTGTTTTAGAAAATTTAAAAAGAGAATCTTTAGCAACACCTGCCCATTTAGCAGCATTAACACTCATATTTGATATTGATGATGCTAATAATTCAGGATTTGATGATTGACATTGAGATGATGCTGTATAATTTGTATTTCCAAAACCCCAATATTTTGGATTACCACTACCAAGACCAGAAGGATATTCTTGTTCATTCGAATTACTATTTTGATAACTATTACCATAATTTTCATTTTGTTGTTCTGATGATTTAAATTCTGTCCAATCAGATGAAGAATTCTTTACTTCAGATAATGATTTATCAGTATAATTTTTTGAAGGTGTAGATGTATAATTTAATGCTGGTGAAGAATTCATTGACCATGTTGTACCTTGTGCTTCTGTCTTTATTTTATCTCGATAAAGTGCAGCTGCACGTGAATTATAACGTTGTTGTAAATTCATTGTATTTGAATTATAATCTGATTGATTGGAAAAAAATTCTTTTGCTTGACGATTACCACCTACTTTCATTTTTTCTAATTCAATATCTTTCCATTTATCCATTGTTATTGAACGAACAAATGATAAATGAACACCTAATCCACGATGTTTACCAGAACATTCAAGACAAATAAAAATACCTATGAAAATAAGAAATATTTCGAATATGAAATTAAATTTTATTCTGTTTGCTTGCTTCTATTACTTAAAATAATCAGATTATTTCAAAATCGAACTTTAGTCATTACAGTAAGAAACAAGTACTTGCAATAAAAATAAATCTAATAGGACTTTTAGCGATTATTAAATGTTTCATGGTTTCGAATTATGTATGAGTTGAAAATGAATGATCACTATAAATCACTCCTCTAACTGCAGAAACTACTATGAATTATTGCTTTATTACATCCGAAAGTGCAATCACGTATTTTTTGAAAGTTTGAAAATTAATTTAATATACTATATGATTGAGAAAAATGCTATTAAATACTTCTCGAAGTGAAGAAGAGTGTTAATATTCACTAGAAAAATAATAGTAAGAAAATTTAATTCATTTTTTCTCTTATTAATATTAAAAGTAGTTTTTTCTTCGCATGGAATATCAGAACGTTCTCCTGTATGGATAGCGCATGCAAGAAAGGCAAAGACTTCGTTTGAATTTGAAAATCATTATCTGTTTGTCTATTTATTCTTATCTTACCATATGTAACAGATACCCATTGTGGATTTAATGCTCCACATTCGAAACATACATTATTATCATTTTTTAATTTAAGATCTTTAAGAACCGATCCAGTATGTGGACTAGCCATAATAAAATAAATCTAGAACAATTATATCTATTTAATACGTATATGTATTTAATCCTCTTTGTTTCTCCAAGATATTTAGAGAATCGATAGACAACAATAGAAAAAGAAATTTACATGACAAGAAAAAAAAAACATCAAACATATTTTAGTCATTTATTTGTTCTTTAACATCCGATGAAGTTTCTGGTTGATTTGCTGTTTTTTTACTGCTACTAGATTTATCTTTTGAATGTCTATGATGACTACGTTCATCACCACTATCACGCCGCGATCGTTTTGAAGATTTTTTATGATGACCATGACGCGAAGATGAACGTTCGGAATCATCACGACGTGATCGACTATTTGGTGATGATGATGATGTTGGTGCAGTTATATTTGTTGTTGATGTTTGATCATTTTCAGTAGTTTCTGGATTTTCATTTAATATTTGAGTAGATTCTGTTGATGAAACTTGACTGTTACTAGTAGCAAGAGTTTTGGGTGGTGAAGAAAAATTTTTTGTTGGTGTACGTCGTGATGAACGATGACTACGAGATGAATCATCATCACCTCGATGATGACGTCCACTATCTTCTCGATGATGTCGTCTGAAGGAAAACAAAATAATTTGTTTTTTTTAAAAAAGTTCAAATAAAATATTTGAAAAACTACTTTCGTGAATAACGTTCATATTTGTCATCACGATCACGTGATGATTTTCGGTCACCTCTAGGTCGTTCATATTCATGATCACCACTTCGATGACGTGAACGATAAGATGATGATGAACGATCTTTTGGTGATGAACGACGACGTGATGTTGAATAATGTTCACGATCATCTCTTGAAAAAGAAAACAATATATTTAAAGTAGATATATCTTCTTTTTTTTATGCAAAACATTTTTTTTTTTAATTAAATACCGATATCTGTCTTTATATCGATCATCTTTAGATGTTTTTTCAGTATCACCACCATTACCACTAGGACGATTTTCTTCTGGCGTTGAACTACGTGGTGAATGATCTTCAGGTGTTGGACTTCGACTAGATGGTGGTCGTCCATTGCCAGTATTGGTTGGTACAGGTGCTTGAGGAGGAAAATGTCCAGGTGGAAAACTATGTACCGGAGGCATACCAGGTCTATTAATCAATAAAATTTAATCGAAATAACTAACATGAGAAGAAAAGAATACTTACTTATCCCATGGTTGTTGTGGATGATGAGGTAAAAAGTATGGTTGTGGTGGTCTAAATTAAATTTCAAGTGTAATCTGAAATGAATCAAAAACAATATTTACCTTTCGCCATGCATGCCTCCAGCAGGTCCATGAGGAAAAAATGGAGGTGCACCAGGCGCATGTGGATGGCCAAATTGAGGTCGAAATTGCATACCATGTGGTGGAGGCAACATAGGTAACCGATGTGCACCAAGTGTTGGTATAGGATGACTACCACCAGGTGGTGTTCCATGTTGTGGTGCAGGACCATTTGATGTTGGTGGTGGAGTAACAAGATCACCAACTGTTTGACCATTAGGTGGTTGACCACCAGGACTAAAGATAATATTGAATAAATTCTTCTAGTTCGTACTTGCGAGGAAACCTCCTTAGATGTCACATTCCAATTTCAATGTTTCTTTTTTACTTATAAATACTACATAGTCGTTCTAATAAAAACCCTAAAAAAATTGAGCTATCGAATTTTGATTTAGGAACTTGTGAACTTTTTTTATGGAAGCTAGTCTAGTGTAGTTTTCTATACGCACAAAGTTTCGGATCAAAATTCGAAACTACGAGTTTTTCCAAAAACTCCAGAGCCTCTTGACAAAAAAATTCGAATTAACCGAAAAACAAATATTCAAGACTTTGTAAAGTTTTTATGAATAAAAGCAGAATTGTAGAAATCGTAAATTTTTTCTAAAAGTTTTCAAAAAAACATACAATGGAGGTCCGTTCATAAATGGTGGATGTTCGAAAGTATTTGATGTATCAAACATTTGTCGACGGGATGTTTGGTCAGTAGCACCTTGAAATCGAAAATAAAAAAACTTAATCTTAATTAAAAAAAAATAGTAAAATAAAATTTATCATACCAATAACATCAATTCTACCATCTTGTTTTCTTACGTTCATAAATGGTCGTGGTACAATTGGCATATTTATTGATGGCTTATTCATAATCATAGCGGGATGAGGATTCATTGGATGTACCATTGGAGGATGAACGGGAAGCATTTGAGGCATTGGTGGAATCTAAATAAGATTTTTATATGTGTGTCAAGAAAGATTTTCAAAGGACTCTGTCGAATCAGATGCATTATCCTTCATTTGAAACGCCATTTACACTGTTTTCTTAGAGCAACTCAAGGAGCATCGAATATTATATATCAGTTAAGAGATATTATAGCAATTGTAGACGATATGATCGAATATTAAGACTTTGACTTTCTCCAAAACAACTCTATATCAAATTTGGTTTAAAATTACTTCCATAGAGTTTTTTTTCTGGTGTTCTATCGTGTATATCAAATAATACTCACAGTAGCTTCCTTCATATCGACAGCTTTTGTGCAACTTTCTCCGAAATTATGCGTCATGATCAAATCAGCCATTCAACATCCCTACAACGGTCATTTTTTCCATTCCTAAGGAAAGAAAAGTATGAGTTTTGAGTGAAAAAAGTCCCTATATTGATAATAAGTTCATCATGCTCTATTATTTTACAAATATCAACCTTTTGACATGGATAAAACGATTTTTCTCTTCCGCATCCTTCACAAGGACTATGGAATTGTACTATTATAAAAATTAATTTTTATTGTTTGGTTTCTCGAATATTTAGATTTAATATATGTTTGTTCTCTTATAAAAATTAAACATTTTGCATACTCTCATATCCTTCTCCAGAGGTCCGAAAACGAATTTTTTTTCTTCTCTTCTCGATATATTCAATTATGTAAAATGATAGAGCACGATGAACTTATTATTAACAGACAGAAATGTTTTTCACTCAAAATTCATAGACTGTTCTGCTCTTATGAGAAATGGAAAAATTGATTTTTTCTAGGGGTTGAATGGCTGATTTGATTATTACGAACAATTTCGAAGAAAGTTGTACAAAAACTATCGATATGAATGAAGCTACTGAATATTATTAGATATACACGATTGAATTTGATATAAGTTGTTTTGAAAACATACTGAGTGCTGATATTTAGTAATCGCTCTCCAAAATGGTAAAGGTAGCTTTTGAAATGAAGAATGATCATCGTATACGATAGGATCTGTTTACATGAGCAGCATTAAGACGAGATAAATTATTTTCTGAACGCAAACGACGTTGTCGATCACAATATTGTGCCCATGTTTCTTCAGTAAAACCATAATTAAAATAATCAGTGATATCCGCTCCTAAAAAAAAAAGAGAAAAATCCACAGCTTCAAATGATATATAATTCTAGAATGTATCATCAAACCTGGTTTTTTCCATGGTTTTTCATCATCTTTATATGCATTCATTAAATCATGTTCATACGTTGGTTGTCCATTAATAATACCCTGAGCATCTAAATCAACAGCACGTGTTGCCTGTGATTTTGTTGGAATAACTGGACCCGCTAAAGTTTCAGAAAAAAATATAATTAATTAATTAAACATAGGAAAAAGGAAAAAAAAACGAATATTTATTTACATGGTATTGTTGTTCGACTATTTTGTCGAGTTGGTGGAAAAATTGATGCACCCGATTTAATATTACGAATAGTTACTTGAATTCCATCATCATCATCATCAGAATCATCATCTAATTGACTACCGATTAATGATGATGTTGTTGGATTTATTGTTGATGGTATTGTTGCCTTTTCCTACAAGCAAACAAAATTTCATTAATCTTTGAGAACAAATTCATTTTTGTGGAGAAAAACTTAAGAATTTCAAGAAAATCTTCATTGACTAAGCAATTTTAGTCTTATGTTTCGCTTTTTATAACACTACAAATAGGGCATGGTAAATCGGTAAAAATAAAATTTTCAAGTTATCGATTGAGTTTGAAATCGTTATTTTTCGAAAATATTTATTAGCAAAAATTATTTACAACAAGCAAGTGATTTGAAAAAAATAAGATCTTGTTTTTTTTCCAGCAATCGAACTTACTGAAACCTAAAGTTTAATGAACTTTCTACACATTCTGTAAAATTTCATTAGGTGTCGTAGATGGAACGTTGAGTTTTTGAATATTCGAACCTATTGATATCAATAGAAAGTTTGAGTGCAAATTAATTCATCAAATGCATTTCTTATCATTCATTTTATGTAAAGTTTCAAAGTGCTTTTCAGTAGAGATTTTGCTTTTTCTAACAAGAAAACTATTCGACTCTACACGACAAGTTGTTGTCATATTATACTGAAAACAAAATCAATGCAGAACTTTTACATCATTCCTTATAATTCATAAAGTACGCAAAACAATGAATTCAATAATCTTTGCACTTGTTTATCAAGAGTCAATAAGTACATTCCAATCGTCTTCTTTCCAATGTCAATAGCCTGCAGCTTAACAGCATGAAGAAGCAAAAACTACCATGCTCATCATTTTCTATCGTACAATCACTTCTGGAATTTCAATATTCAAAATTGTACCAACAAGAAAAAACAAATAAAGCTGTCAACTCAATTCTTTTCGGTTTAGAATGAGAAATAAAATATAGTTGATCTTGCTAATCGCATGTAAGATTTTTTTATTCGTTCTATTTTGGAATACACTCCCTCACCATCGTTTTATTCAATCCTTCCGAAATGCAATAAGGAAGTTGTTTATGATCTTTGATCGTATATTAACATCTTTCATAGCCGACGGGGAATTCAAATTTTTACCACTTTACTTCAACACTCTTTTCAATGCATGTTTTACAACAACATAAAAAGCTATTCAAATATATTCTTATAGTACAACTAATGAGGGAACTACCTGAACGTTCATCCACCCTTTGAGCTCATACTCATGAATCTGTGGAGCAAAGTTATAATTGTTTTACTGAAATTTCGCTCATAGACAGATCCAATAACTAGTAGACTATACTAAAAGTTTCTGTCAAAAAGACTGTTACTATTTTATCAAAATATTGAATTCTCAAAAAATGAGTTCCCTTGTAAATTTAATTACAACGGTCATAACTCAGCTTCATAGGTACGAATTCTTCTAGCATTTTTCTAGTCTTACCGAAACTTTCTTGTGAACCTATTATGAGCTCAAATGACGAAATATCAGCTTTGGTAGTTTTCTCATAAAGAAAATAAACAAATATCGTATTTCAGCTCACTAGACATTACATTAATCAATCTTTTATACTTTGCAATATTCTCTAATAAGATCGTATACGATGTTATATTTTGAATATTTGAATTTCTAAAATCTATGAGTTTATATAGTAAAAACTACTCTAGAATCTTCATTTATGAATAAGATCTTCTTACTAATATACAAACTATTTTTTTAATTAATTACGACTATTAGAAATAATTTCTTCGGGTTAAGACTTTAAAAAAAAATGACATTCTCTACATACCCTAGCATCGATTTCCTGTGTTGTTATTTCATCAATTGATGGTGCTGTTGTATTATCACTTAAAATTTCAAAAACAACATCAATTAAATTAAAAATCATAAATTAGAAAACTTACACATGTTCTTCAACCTTTTGTTTTCCATATAACCATGTTTCGTCATTCTCATTATTAACACCGGATTCTTTGACTGATGAATTTGTATCTGTTATTATTAAACCATTTAATGATGAATTTTCATCAATAATTGTTTCCGACATGATCTAATACGAAAAAGTAATTATTTTTCTTTTTTTTTTTTTCAGTATTATTTTTTGTTCCTCAGTTTATATCTGTTGATGTAAGACAAAAACAAAGTAACCAATCATATGTAATCTTTTATATTTTCTAAATAACAAAAATAAACTATGACCTCTATCGTCTTTCTACACTATTCATTCATTCATTCATATACATAGCATTATTGTTTAATCCGATCAGTCATATTCGATATATTAACAGACTGAGAATGTCATCAACTTATATGGTATTTCGTTGTGTTTTTACAATAGTTAATATGTGTTTTTTTGTAAGTTTAAAATTAATTTTTCAATAAATGATTGTTTTTTGAATAATATAAAAATTCTAGGCATTGGGATTTGCTGTTGTCGTTTGCAGTTGGTGGTTACATATAAAGTCTGTTGATTATCGACCACTAATGAGAAATCAACTGTTTACGGCACCTGTTATATTGATAATTTCAGGTTTAAATTTTGAATTTCTTTTTGTTTTATTTCTTATGCTATTGGAAATTTTTAGCAAAGATTTCTATGTTCCTTGGCGCTATGGGATGTGCTGGTGCATGGTTTGAAAAGAAAATTCTATTATTTATTGTAAATAAAAATTATTTTTATGTTTATTTTGCTTTAATTCTTGATATTTTATGTTTTTTGTTTCAAGTATATTATAACGATGATTATTATTTTCGTGGCATTATTACTTGGTGTTGTATTTGTTATTGCATTTAATGAACGAGTAAAGTTTTTTATTTTATTTTTGATTGGAGAATTATAAGAGTTTGTTTTTCTTTAAGGTAGCTATGGCTGCACGAAAAGAATTACTTGAAAATATTCGTCAATATCCGGGTGAAGAAGGTGCCGATGAAAATAATTTTCGTAAAACGATGAATTCAATTCAAAAACGCGTATAAAATTTTAAAGAAGTTTTAGTTAGAAATAAAATAATTGATTTTTATTTAGTTTCATTGTTGTGGTGTTGATCAATATCAAGATTGGTTTAATGCTGATGTATGGACTGGACAACCCTATGTACCTGATTCATGTTGTATTGAAGAAATAAATGGTTGTGGAAAACAGATCGCTGCAAATGAAACTTATGGTTTAATTTATACGGATGTATGTTAAAATAGAGGAATGTTTGTTGTTGTTTTTTTTTTGATTATTAGAATCTTGTGTTTCTTTTGAAGGGATGTTTTAATATGATTCAAATGGAAATTAATCGAAATTTAATGATTGTTGGTATTTTGGCTTTTGTTCTTGTCTTTGTTGAAGTAAGTTGATCAACATTTCAATATTAATGATAAGAGTCATAGTGAAAACAAAAACGAAAGGAATATGTATTTATCAGATTTAGGACGTTCTGTAGATTCAGCTTGAATGTGTTTAATAAGGATAATAACTTTTTCGGACTCGTGTGCTCTTAATCCCAACGAAACTTTTTAGTTTAATGAGGGAAGTCCTTCAACTGTTCAATCGTTTGTGAGTCGCGAATATATGCATTATGTAGATCCTAATAAGCTATGAATGTTGTAGTTTCCCTCAGAAAAACTTATTTTTTGAATTTTGACTTGAAACTTTACGCACCTATGACAATAGCATGTCGTTTACATCGACATAATTATTGCTCTTATTCCAGGATAGGAGCAAATCAAAAATCAGTTTTTTAGAATCCCATCCTTTGCTTAAAAGTGTGCAGTATTCCTAGCTCATTGGAATCTACATAATGCACATAATCTCGATTTACAAGCAATTGAACAGTTGGAAAACTTACTAGCCGCTATAAAGATACCTTTTTCAAATTGTCTTGATGATAATGTGTTGGGTTAACTCTAGAGAGCAATCTAATTGGCTCTAGTAATGACATTGCAAGTCGCTTGAGAATGTGTCTTGTCAATGAAATAAATGAATTCAATCATACTGTTTTTATTAAGTAGTGTTTGAAACATCTTTCAAAAGACAGAGAAGTAAACAACAAATGTCGTTTGTATTGTGACAAAACTAGAAAAAAAAACTCAAGGGATTTGAGATACAAATAAAATTAAAGAACTTTATCCGTATGTAATGAGTTGACCATGAACAATGAATCTTGGTATGTTGATAGTGTTAAAACGCGAAGAAGCAAATTTTTTTTAAGATGCATCTTTCAACTCTACAATCTTATTACTTCAACTGAGATTGACTATTTTTGGAATTGATGACGCAACAGATATGTTTGAACTCCACAACTATAAAAACAAACTTTTGATTCTTTGCATTTTAATACTATCGAAATGTATTATAAATACTGAAAGATCTATTGTTTATAGTCCATTCAAATGTTGGTTATAAATTGTTTTTTGTTTTCGAAGAAAAAAACATGTTGAAAATTCTTCGAGTTAAAATAAGAGGAATTTATTTATTTCAATAAGTCTCCTTTTTTGATCTACTTTTCTTAATCTTTCGTAATCAAATGACATATCGCATTTGAAATATTTTTTATTATAGTGAACGTGTGCTAATTATAAATGATCTCAGCTCCGACAGAGCTATTTTTATTGAAAAACGCCTCCTGACTCTGATTAATCAACACTTTTAAAATCTAGTTTTTATGAACTAAGAGTAAATACATTTTATATATGATTCGATTGCTCTAAATGTAAAGGAAAGATTAAATTAATTAAAGAATTCGTGTCAAATTCAACAAAATAGCATCGATATTATTTCAAAAGTAGAAAGACAAATACCATCAAAATCTCTCTAGTCAATGCTTTTCAATATTTCATAATAGAGAAGTAATATTGTATCAAAAGTTAATCATTGATATTTTTTTTAGGGCTTTTGTATTGTTGCTGCACTTGGTCTACTTTGTTATCTTCGTCAACGTGATCGTTATATTTAAAATTTTATTTATAATAAATCTCTTCTTGTTCAGATAAATTCATTTTCTTTTTCTCACGTTCTCATAATTGTCATGAACATAAATAATGCAATTTTTTTTTTTACAAATGTTCTTTTACCTTTGAATTGCTAGCTCTATTACTATCTGTTTAACAGTGTGCATGTGTGTGTACTTCCTTTTTTTTTTTTACATGTATAGTCTTGTACTTTAAATTATGATTATCTATTTCATGTTTGTTTTGTTTTGTTTTATATCAATTTATCAAAGAATTTGATTTGAATAAAATTCAACCTATTTATAAACATAAGAAAATACGAATGAAAGTATTCAATTTAATATTGATTAAAAAAAACAAATAATTATTACGCATGATATGATTAAGTACAAAGTCAAATTAAATTTATCTCAATAAGACTTGATAAGAAAAAAGAATCTAGTTCTATATTTTATTAATCTTGTCTGATCTTAACTTCGTCTTTTGTCAATTGAATAAATGATCATCGTCATTGACCCTACTGGTTTTATCCAAAAAATTAAGATTAAGATATGCATATGATGTTATTGAATAGAATATAAAGGGTGGCCGCGAAGTTCTGTCTCGATTTGAATAATACGTTTTTCTTTAACAAAATACGCGATTCAAAATTTTTCTTTTTAACGAAAAGATGCAATAAAAGACGCTCTACAGAATGGTTTTTGATTGACCCCGCTAGCGCATATAATAAGAAAGTTATAGACTTGGCAATGTGCTTCACGAAAAAGAAAAATCAACGGTGAATTGAATCTTGGTATTTTTTGCTTGAACTCCTGTACTTTAGACCCCTTAGAGCGAATTGTTTTTTTAACAGGCGCGTCTTGAAATTCTCTACAAAATCATACCTAAACTTTTATATTAGAACTCCAATCAAGAAAACTAAATAAATCATAAACGAGGCGCAAAAAGATGAAAACTTTGTAAATTCGGAATTTTTTGCGACTTGAACTTTTTCTTTTTCTATTATTTTCATGAAAAGCTTAGAAAAAGTGATAACTCAGTTTGTATTTGGTACTTTTGAATGCACTCTTTCTCGTTTTTTCTAAAAAAGATTTTTTTAGAGCGGATGATGTGCCCGAGAATGAAGTTTCAAAAGTTGAAAACCTCCATTTCCAACAATGTGCCCAAGTAAGAAACAGAAAACGTGATCGAAGTTTGATTTTGCAG